AAAGAAGAAAGAAAGAAAGAAAGAAAGAAAGAAGAAGAAGAAGAAGAAGAGGGTGTGGGGGGAGGGGGGGAGAGGGATGTGGAGATTCGCCATAGTTATCTCAAAAAGGTGATGTGTCGCCAGGGCTAACTCAAAGGAGACTGACATGCACCAGCTACAGTTAAAGAAGCTTGAGGCTTAGTTCACCACGTCTAAGGCTGTGCAGAGAGGGTTGCATTGTTATCTTGTTTTAGGACTTTTGATGGAGTCAAAATGAAATATCCTGCACAATCAACAAAAAAAGATAAAATTCAGCTTCATGAATCCCAATAATTTCTCTCCAAAAGGAGAGAATGTGTTCTAGGCTTCTAGCTAAAGAATAAAGCTGCTCATAAAAAGTTATCATTTTTTTTTTTCTTTTTAGCTCTTTTTCATAAGGTTGATCAATATTTGAAACATCAGAATAGGATCCTGACTTGGCAAGGGTCTGGTTCGGATTTTCTTAGTCCCACTTCGATGAATGCAGGCTTGGGCTGCAATTCATAAAGAATTTAGAAGAAAAATCAGAAAATCGGGACAAATCCAGCCATTTTAGAGATTTTCCATCTGGAATTGTGTACCTCCAACGAATCTAAAGTCATTTTGACATTTTTTTTTTTTTTTTTTCTGGATTAGATAGGTTGGAGTCCATAACCACATCTTACAATATTGAGTGCCATCCAGTATTCTACATTTCTTTAAAAAAGATCATTTCAGTGTATCATATAGAATAGGGTTATTTGCAGAATGCCACTCTAGCATAATGTTTTTTCCATATTAAATAGTGTGAATATGGTACCCATGTCCTAAGCCACATGATCCTGTCCCATTTTTTTGTCGTCCATGTGCCCTTCAATGAGAGAGAGAGAGAGAGAGAGAGAGAGAATACGTAATCTAAACACTTTGAGGTCTAAAGAAAAGTGAAATGATCTTGCAATAAAATTATGGGAATGTTTGACCGGATTAAAAATGGAAAGGGCACTTATTACTTTTTAAAATTGGCCCATGGATCAATACAACAGCTTTTCTGCCCTGCACTTTCGATTGTGCCAGCTCCTTTTCCCTTATTTTTCATGTTTCTTTAGTGTAATTTATTTCACTATAAAATACAAAATAAAGAACAAGGCACGTGGCGATGGCTCCGGCCAGACCTGGAGCTGGACTAAAAAATATAGTGTGGGACTTAGAACCAGACTCAGACCCAATCGGATTCAATTTACAAATTAAAATATGGGAAAAGTTTATATAGAGCCGAGGCTCTAAACAATCAAATTTGAGCCTACTTCAAAAATTTCATTAGAAGAGGTTGTTTTGATGCCCAAATATCTTCAAATTGATCATCTCGACACCAAGATGCATGGACATGAGACAAAAGTAAATTTCAAATTTTGAAAATAATGTATTTTGTAATGCATTTTTGACCGTCAATTTTCAAGATTTTCAATTGTTCATAGATCTGTCGATCTACACTATTTTTGAAGGTTTAAACTTTATAAATAAATATGAAAATTTATTTTAAGGCTTTCTCAAAGATTTCCAGTAGTGAAATCATATTTCTCGATACTATTTAAAAGGCAGGCTCTAATTTGATTGTTTAGAGCCTAGGCTCTATATAAACTGCACCATTAAAATATCTCCATATTTAACTATATTTAAATATTTTTATAAGCTAGGACCCAAAATATATCACTGGACCCAGACCCTATCAAACCCAAATCCAACTCGATCCAATTTTTGAGCCTATACCCAGAACCGAATCGAGTCAGGTTCCAGGTGAGTCCCGCCCGGGTCCATTACCGCCCATGGTTAATGTGCCTTTTCGATATACGTAGACTTCAAGTGCAAACCAACCACAGCGTGGGCGGCGTCAACGATGCGCGTTATGTCCATCATTGAATACTAGTTTATTGACTTTTGGAAATCTTTAGCCTTACTTTTTTTTAATTCATAAATAAATAATCTTTTTATAGTATAATAATTTTTTTAAGGAAAAAGTTTATATAAGTTTTACTTGCTTGACTTTTGGAGTTCTTTGGACTTCCTTTTTTTAATTCATAAATAAATAATCTATTCATAAAGGGTAATAATTTCTTTTAAAAAAAATTTTTATATAAGGTTGCAACTTTAAAATCTAGAATTATAGGCGCATCTCAAAAAAATCCATCAAAAAAAAGTTGTTTTAATGTTAAAAAAAATCTAATTGATCATCTCGACATCGAGATGTATGAATATGAAAGAAAAAAAAGATTTTGAGTCTCAAAAATAGTGCGTCTTGCAATACATTATCTAGACCGTTCATTTTCAATATTTTCATATGTTTATAGACCTGCTTGATTTTAATCATTTTTTAATTTTAAAATTTTATAATTAAATATAAAAATATATTTTGAGATAATCCTAAGAAGTTTTTCACCAAAATTACATATTATGATAAATTTTGGAGGTGCGCCTTGGATTGTTTAAAGTTACAACTTTATAGAAACCACACTTTGTTTAATTATTGCGTTGAGCTTTATATTCCATAATAATATGAAAGGAATTTCTTTTTCTTTTTTTTTTTCTTTTTCTTGTTTTATTTTTTTTTCTCATCTCACTAGTACATCACCTCAATATTTTGCATAAAGGTTATTTTATTGGGAAGGGGACACCTTTATCTTCAATAATATCTTTGAAATTACAAAAGCTAACGGGCGCATGTTGGGCTGTGTTTTAGCCGACAATAAAGAAACCAAGGTTTCATAATAACTAAAATCTTGCCTCATGATTTTTCAAAAATTGCATTTCAAGTGTTGAAAAACCTTTACATTAATCATCTCGACTTGAATGTTATGATTGTTAAAAAAAAATAATGTATAGTGTAACAAATCATCTAGACCATCCATTTCGCCATTAAAAAACTATTACATGAACAATTCTCATGGCAAGGTCAGAGTCGATGGTGTCACATAGTGAAGGCATCAAGGCATCACATGAGGCTTCGATGTAATTCTCATAAAATACTTAAAAAATAACGTTCTAGATATTATAACGGTTGCCCAATGGCTACGTATATTTTTAAGGAAAAATAACTTTTGAATTGGCCAACGAGAAGCGGCCATGTTAGACTAGGTGCTCAAATTGACTAATGACCTTGTCTCTGTTTAACTAAATGCATATATAAGAAGGAGGTGGAGAGCAAGAACCAGCAGAGAAGAAGGAAAAATCAATCACGTTTGCCATTGTATAACGATGAGAGCAATGGTGAAATTATTCAGTAGTTCATGGTTCGCATGGTTTTTGTTGAGTGCTTTGGTTTCAGTAAATGTTGGAGTTGAGGCTAGGGTGCGCCACTACAAGTGGGAGGTGAAGTACGAGTTTCATTCACCTGACTGTTTTGAGAAGCTTGTGATTGCCATTAACGGCCAATCTCCCGGCCCCAGCATCGTGGCTGAGCAAGGAGATACAATTGTTGTGGAGCTTACTAACCGCCTGCTCACCGAGAACATCGCCATCCACTGGCACGGGATTCGCCAGGTATGAGCTCCTTTCAAGTCCTTTTGATGCTACTGATACATAGTATTCGAAAAATCGAGCCGGCCAAGGACCGGGTCTAAGTAACCAGTAAAACGGCCAGTTCAGTTGGCTTAACTAGGCACTTGAAAAAAAAAATTCAAAAAATAAAAAAAAAAATATTTAGAGCATGATTAAACAAAGCGCATCCAAATGAAATTGAAACATAGTGAAAAAAATGGACTTCAAAAAATCAATTTGTGCTCAAGGACATTTTTGAAATTTTTCAAAAAATGAGAAAAAATGTAAAAATAAGTATTCATGACCAAAACACTAATATTTGACAAAATGAAAAAAAAATAAAAAAAATACATTACAAATAAATCCCTTATTTTTTGGGATTATATATATTTATATATTTTTGAAAACAAATTTAAAATACCTGACCAAACCACCAAAACTGATCGCCCGGTGCTTGGTTCCGGTTTGACGAGTCGGGTCCGAGTTGGACCGGCCGAGTTTGCCGAACACTTCACATGAATTCTCTCTCCCCCCACCGCCCCAGCTCGGTGTGTGTGTGATTCTCTCTTTGTAGAGGCGTGCTTCTCTCCCCCCTGTGTGTGTGGTTATCTCTTTGTAAAGGTGTGCTTCTATATGTGTGGGTTTGCTGGCTCTCTCTCTTTATGATATCATGCGATTGATTTTTTCTGTAATTCTTTGTTAAAAAAACAGATTGGAACCCCATGGAGTGATGGAACAGAAGGGGTGACTCAGTGCCCAATCTTGCCTGCCCAAACGCATGTTTACAAGTTCGTAGTGGACAGGGTAAGTTTACTACTCCAATACTAGATCAAGAATATTCCACAGAAGAAGACAACAATAGGAAAGAAATTAAGCAATTAGTGTAAAAGTCTTCAAATAAATCTAAATCCCTGTGGAGTTGGACATAAATTAAAAATAACATGCAAAACAAAAAGTTTTGTAATCATTGTTTTTTAAAGTTCATGCAATGGTAATGAAAAATAGTCACTTTTGTAGCTTTCTTTCGTCATTTTTCTTGTGCAAATCGCTATCGACAGGAAAAAGAGCCCGGGCTTAATTAGTCAGGACGATTTGCAAGGCTACATCTTAAGCTGAATCTCTCGATGTAGAACCCTCACCCCTAGCAAAAATAAAAAATTAATAAATAAACTCTCTTAGTCTCTTTTAGTGGAAGATGAGGGGAAGTTTCTTGAGTGTCGTGACCCCCAATCGAATACCGTCATTCATATAGAATCCCGTTTCATCGTTGACACCCTTTTTGCTAGAGAGTCGAATTTAAAGGCGTTTTAAAAATCGACTCGGGACTCACATGAGTGGGCCCGGAGTGGAAGCCATGTTACACTTGCTTAAAAAATGGGGAATCGCTGAGTCTTTTCATTTTTTAGATTTTTTATTTATTCAATTAAAGCTAAAATTTTTTTTATAACTGGTAAATTTTTATTTGTAAGGTAAGGTTACAATGGTTTGCACGGTCTATCTTAACGGGAAGGTGTAGAGTGTACATTGGATAATTATGTACTAGATTTCGATAGTATCTCAAAAACTAGATCAGAGATATACCATTCAACTAAAATAGATAGTACAATATATCCCAGGCTTACTTCTACAAGTGCAATTTTTATTTTATATCAATGTTACCCAAAAATGTCAGATCAAACTTGGGCATGCTCGAGGCAAACCGGAGGACTTAGGGCTAAAACCATTAGTTACTTGGAGCTTGAGGCTGGGTTTTCAAACCTTGATATATACCGGTCCAAAGAAGGATAATAATTCTAATAAATTTTATATTATAAAATACCGACAAAAACAGAAATATATATTATTTATTTAATTGTTTGTTTATTTATTTATTTATTGGTTTTTAGCCGGGAACCTACCTATATCACGCCCACTATGGCATGCAAAGAGAAGCTGGGCTTTATGGATCCATTAGAGTGTCTTTGCCCAAAGGTGCTAAGGAGCCGTTTGCTTATGATGGAGAGCACAGCCTTTTGTTAGCTGATTGGTGGCACAGGAGCACATATGAGCAATCAACTGGTCTTTCTTCTAAGCCATTTCGATGGGTTGGAGAACCTCAGGTACCCCATCTCTTTCTATACTAACCCCTCTTTCTTTCTTTTGTTTTTTTTTTTTGAGCATTAAAAATAGGGTTGGGGCCATTGGGCCCTCTCCTCATTTTTTCTTTATCGACCACTGTACCCTTTCTATTTTGATCGTTGCAGCGCCCTTTTGACCATCCTAAGATTCTCTCTTTTTTTTGGGAAGGGGGTTGAGAAGTGGGGGCATCACCCCTACCCCTATTATTTAGTTACCGCGTCGGGGTTTTCATTCCCATGAATATTATTTTGTTAATATTTTTTAAAAACTAACTCTTAAACTATTTGAAAAAATAAATTGGGTTTCTTCCCTACTGAATTATAAGAAAAAAAAAAAGTGGATTAACAGTGGAGAGAGAGACAGTCTTGGTATTGCATCTCTGTCTCTCTTCTTCACTCACCTGCACCTGCACCATCTCTCATATGTTCTTGTCTTGCCAAAGTGCACTCTTAAGCAGGTCATGTGTGCCCATATGCTAAACTGTCCTCTCAGCCCACTTTTACTCTCTATCTGTGTAGCAAACAATTTTGAGTGGATTTTTGCCTTTAGTGCTATCCCTAACCAAGATTATCACTTTTCAGTCACTATTGATCCAAGGTCGCGGAAGTTACAACTGCTCACTTGTCAGTGGGCTTAATGCAGCCGGGACTGGTAGCGTTTGCAATGCCACTAACCCTCAGTGCTCTCCCCATTTCATGACTGTCGTCCCCGGCAAGACTTACCGAATAAGAATTGCCAGTGTTACCTCTTTATCAGCTCTCAACTTTCAAATCGAGGTATATTTTCTTTTCTCTCTCTATACACCACAATTTATGAGATCCCATCAACTTAGTTCAGCAAGACTTCTATCCAAAAAAAAAAAAAAGAAAAAGAAAGTTCAGCAAGACAAATGGAACATAGGATGTAGTTTTCCAATCATGAAGAACTAACCACCCATGCTCACTCCTGCATTTTTGTACTGCCTTTCTCCAAGTAGTTGAAATGCCCCTTTTTTAGTGACCTTAGAGGAATATAAATTTTTTTAATCAATCATCAAGGATGGTATAGCACCCATGTCATGTGAGGGATTCAGATTAGAAGGAAGAAACAGGGACAACCATGACTTAATGTAGCATTTTAATTTTATTACTTTCGTTTTTTACGGATTAGATTGACATATTTAAAAGGTGTTTTCACTTTACTTGAGTGCACCTAAAAAATATAGAGATAATTTGTAAAAATATATTGATCAAAATACCACTAAATATTTTAGAAGTATTTTGGTTAATTTATTTTATAATTTTTTAATATGTATAATTAAGTATTATAAACGGTCAAAATTTTAAATAAAAAAATAATCCTCACTTGTCTTCTCTATTGAATACGAGGGATAGGAGGTGACGCCCTTCAAGGGTCCGCATCACGTGGAAGCCATACTTATCCTCCCAAAAATTAGGTCTACCATTGTGCCTTTACTTTTCAAACCTGGATCTAACAAACGAGATAAATGATTTTGTTCTCTTCTATCAACTTTTCAAACCTAGATCCAACTAATGAGACAAATGATTTTGTTCTTCTAATTTGTCTTAGTCTTCATAGGTAAGTCACCCATCTCATTAATGCTCTTGTAAAAGTGTTGGGAATTTAATAATGTTTGGGAGAGGGGTTCGGTCGCGGTGGTAGGACCCCAGTACCTGATTATCATATTGTGGTTTCCAATCATTCAGACACCTTAAAAAAAAAACCAATTTTTTTTAATTTATATGAAAAAAATGGGTAGGAGCATGTCTTCTTCTTTAAATTACCCAAAAAAAAAAATGTTATTTGTGTTCATGCTTGATACATCGAGATTTAATTTTCTCCCAAATATTGCAGGGCCACAACATGACCATAGTTGAAGCAGACGGCCACTATGTGGAACCTGTCGTAGTCCAAAACCTCAACATATACTCTGGAGAGACCTACTCTGTCCTTGTTAAAGCAGACAGAGATCCTTCGAGGAACTACTGGGCTGCAGTGAATGTTCGTGCTCGGAAACCTGAGACGCCTACTGGAGTGGCCATCTTCAACTACTATCCGAATCATCCTAAAAGGCGCCCTCCCACCATACCACCGGCTGGTCCGGTTTGGAATGATACGTCTTACGCCATAGCACAGAGCCAATCGATAAAGGCTCGGGCTGGATTCATCCATACACCACCCTCTCAGTCTGATAGGGTCATAACTCTACTCAACACACAAAACCTAATCGACGGATTCAGACGTTGGTCCCTAAACAATGTCTCATTCACGCTCCCGCACACTCCCTATCTAATTGCGATCCATCAAAATCTGACCCATGCCTTCAACCAGACACCGGCTCCAGACAGCTACAGGGCTAAGGAATATGACATTTTCCGCCCTCCACCGAACCCAAACGCTACACAAAGTGACTCAATCTATCGACTCCGCTTTAATTCGACTGTCGATATAATTCTACAGAATGCCAATACTCTGAATCCGAACAACAGCGAGACGCACCCATGGCACCTTCATGGACATGATTTCTGGGTTTTGGGTTATGGAATTGGAGTTTTTGACCCAGTAAATGACCCCAAGAAGTATAACTTAGTGAATCCTATCATGAAGAACTCTGCGGCTGTGTTTCCTTATGGTTGGACTGCTCTAAGGTTTAAGGCAGATAATCCTGGGGCTTGGGCATTCCATTGCCATATTGAGGCTCACTTCTACATGGGCATGGGGGTTGTGTTTGAGTCAGGAGTTGACAGGTTGGGAAAACTTCCAGATTCCATAATGGGGTGTGGTGAATCATAGCCCAATTGATTAGATGGTCATTGATTGTTTTATTGACTAATGTCTTTTGTTTTATTTTGAGACACTGGCTGTCAATTCTTTTTCCACAATAATGCTATAGAAATAAAGTCAAGGAATTTTTTTTTTTCTTCGTCAAACAAGATAGATCAAGTAATGCATTCACAAGAAGGTTTCTACCTATCCCCTAGTAGCTTGGGGATAGATATGAGCAAAGTCATTGCTGAAATGGTCCAGTGGGGCCTTCTTTGTAAGTTTCCCAAAATGAAAGTTTCACGTCCCTTTCTCTTTAGATAAGGTTTTGAATTCAACCTTTTCTTTACATTTTTTTAATTTATTTTTTGTAATGTAGACCGTTCTTTGCATTTCCCCTTGGATCAGTCCCTAACAACCCAGCACATTGGCTATTTGTTTTTCTTTTTTTCTTTTTTCGATAATTATGTGGGGAAGTCAGGCCCTTACCCATAGTTGGTTTTTCTTTAAATGGTTTAGAAGTTAGTTTTTTTAAGGCGTCGGTAGGTGGTGTTTGTGGGAATGAAATTGGCTATATTTGTTACATTGGTTATCTATACTTTGAGGTCCAGTCTATACTTCAAGGTCCAAATCCCACACTGAGGTACCTAAATAAAAGGCCTCATTTTGCATGGGCTTCATTTTAGCTTGATTCTTGCTCATTTTAAGAGCTTGGTTTGTCGTGGTAGTTGGGAAAGGGGCTTGGGTCATCGTGGTAGCACCCCACACTTTAGTTATCATGTTGTGGTTTCCATTCTCATTAATAACATGGCCTCACTAATACCTTTTTCAGAAAGTTAAGTCCCAATCTACTTGAATAAACGGGTAGGAACTTATCTTCCCATTGAATTACCCAAAAATAAGTTCACCCTAGAGCTGCCAAATAGGGACTTGGAAAAATGTTAATTCCTCTTCGGAGGATACAAACATCGAATGATCTCGCTATTTGTACTCTAAACCACCCCCAAGTCTTCTAATTACACTATTTATCAAGATAGACTAGCGGTTTGGAAAAATGTTGATTCCTTGTAGGAGGATACAAGCATCGAATGATCTCGTTATTTGTACTCTAAACCACCCAAGTCTTTTAATTACATTATTTATCAAGACAGACTAAAATTATTTTGTACTCTAAACCACCCAAGTCTTCTAATTATATTATTTATCAAGACAGACTAGCAGATAACTGACTGGTTCTTTTGCCGGCCGGTCAAATAAGTTGGCTTCGTTGAAAACCGGTCGAAAAGGTCGAAATAATTATTTGACTGGTTTTGGCCGGTTAGACCATTTGATTTTAACCAATTCGACCAGGAAAAGAAAATTGAGAAATTTCCTTTAATATATTTCATATTTTAAAATATTTTTCTTGTCTTTCTTCTAATTTTTAAAATCTAGTCCACGTTGTTTGAGCAGCAGTCAAACTGGTATTGTTTGGACCAAATCCCTAACTAGTTAGGCGGCCATAATCGCTATAGCTATGTTCTAAGCACCCTATGAGATATTAGATTAGTGAATCCAATATTTTTTTTACGACGTAGTGAAATATTGATGTTTAAAAATATCAATATTTCATGAGGTGACTTATTGGCAAGATATTAATGTTCAAACATACCAATATCATGCTGATTTTAGAACGTGTTAAAAAAAATACCAATATCTCATATGGTGTTCAGAGTGATACGTTTGTATTTTACAATACAGATATCTCATATAGGTGGTTTTATTAATCATAAAAGTATGCATATCTTGTTGCGCACCAGCCATATTCTTTATTTTCAACCACTATATGTACCGTTTGATGGTTCTATTAACCATAAGTTTGGATCTTAGTGACGATTATCATTATTGAGAATTCATCGATAGGCTTCTTTGCCAAGATGCTATTACATCTTTTTCATGGGATTTTTAAGAAAAACTCATCTAAGATTTTTTTTGTTCACAATCACCTGTCTGATGGCTATGGGAAATTAAAGGGGATTTGGAAGGAGAGAAATCGTAGAGAATTTTAAGGTTTCTCTCTACCTTTTGATAGAATCTTGAGTAACATACTTCATACCTAATGGATTTGGTTTTCAATTACTAAAGAAGAGTGGGGTATCTGAAATTGATATACAAGTAAATATCTCGCACTTGTTGTGGATAAGAAGTGTGAAGAGTCCTCTTAGGACAATTTGGGTCTCTCCGCCTAGGGGTTCTTTCAAATTCAATTTCGCTCCTTTGGTATTCCAGGTGTGGCATGTATGGGTGGAGTTGTCAGAGATTGCAATAGGTTTGATCTCTTTGGCTATGCGGGGCCGTGGGGAGTGGATGAGATGGCCTTGCTATTACAAGGCTTCAAACTCATTAAAGGTAGGTTAAGGGGTCAACTTTATATGGTGGAAGGTGATTTTCTAAAGAATGTTAGAATTTGTGGGAGCATAGAATGGAGAGAGAAGAATAGAAAACACAACATTGACGTGGTTCAGGCCGAAACTTTACGTTCACGGATCCAAAGCCCAATTGGCTACATCTTCATTATTTTGGATGAATGTTTATATCAATAAGTATATCTATGTATAGAGGATAATCACACAATTACATGAGATAAATATAGTATGATAACTTGATGACCAAGCAACTTGCTCTCTATCTTCTAGATACCTAACCTTATCAAGAGATATATACATATACATCTATAAATTTGAACCTGAGATATCCATATCCCAACACTCCCCCTCAAACTGAAGATGCGTTGACACAAAGAAGTTGGCGTTTGAATAATACTAAGTTGCCAAAAAAAAAAAACGAGTAGTGATTAAATCCATAATAAACTTCCCAGGTTACCATGGTCTTCCAAGAAACAACCTTTTTTGGGATCTCTACTTTCTTATCTGTGATATTCTCTCTTCAGAAGCTTCTCTAAAGATCTTCTCTCTTCAAAGACTTCTCTGAAGATCTTCTCTCTTCAAAGGCTTCTCTGAAGATATTCTCTCTTCAGAGGCTTCTTTTCTTTATAAAGGCTTTCTCTCTCTAAAAGAAAATGATCTTTCTTTCTCTCTTCTTCGGAACATCCGAGATATAGTAACGAAAAACTCGACGATCATCATACAGAATGGAACAATGAAAAACTCCATCATCCAACAGGACTGAGTAACGGAAAACTCAATCTTAAACATAGGCATTCAGAGCAGCCTGATCATCACACAGGATAGAGTAACGAAAAACTCCATCATCAAACAGGATTAAGTAACAGAAAACTTGATCAGCAACCAGGATCGAGAAATTCAATCTTCACACAGGATGGAGTAATGGAAAACTCCATCATCAAACGGGATCAAGTAACAGAAAACTTGATCATCAATCAGGATCGAGAAATTTGATCACCAAACAAGCACAGTTGGATCCAAAACATATGAGAGAGTCAAAACACAACTCTGCAGCGAAACAAATTATAGAGTCGAAACACAACTCAGACCATTTTTTTTTTTTTGGAATCAATCGGAATAAATCGATGATGGTGGAAGATGGATCTGTTGAGGAGCAGCCTTGGAGGAAGAAGTGGCTCTTTGGCCGAAAACCTGTGGTGATAAACCCTTCAAGCGTGATGAAAAGCTGTGAAGAGAGAGAGGTACGGGTGCTTATGAATCCCGACCTCATAGGTGCTTCTTCTCCTTACAAGTTGAGGAGGTGCTTCTTCTCCTTGAGCTCGAAACAATGGCGGATAAAGTAGGTAACCAAGTCCAGCTTCTCTGATATACTCCCTTAGGTGAAAGAGCACATTCATGGTGTCGATTTCATCTGCATCTCTTCTCAAAAGACGAATGTCGTCACATATTGCCCATTGATACCCGTGAAACCTCATACTGTAAATCGAGGGATGCGGCTAAGAGGTTTGAGTTGCTTTACTTCACTGCTTGGAGGGATGCATGCAAAGATTCAAGTGGATCATCTGATGGGGCTTTAGTGAAATCGTTAAGGAAACTTATTTTGGGAAGTAAGGTATATGAAACAAGACCATGCTTAAATATAGACGTTTGCACTGACAATCAGGTGTAGCTAGTTGTGAAGATGTTGAACGATGTAGCTGATGAACTTGTACTATTGATAATCCCACACAAGAATGGTACAGTGAAGGGACTTTCGAGTAGTTTTGGCGAGTTCCCAGGAGGACAGAAACCTTCTCATGGAGGAGATTCAGTCCCTTGAGGAAGAACATAACAAACAACTCCGTGGCTATCTTTTCTCTTGATGAGGTGGGAGCCTATATTCATTCAAGAGGCTCCTCAATTCATCATGTATATCAATATCTTACGGATAATGCTGGAAGGCTTTACCAAGTCGCAGCGGACAATACTCATGAGGAGATCAAGAACTGAGATGGTACTCTAAAATTTTTGGGAAAAAGAACCGAGGCCACTGATCAGTAGAGATGAAATCGGTGTTCTCCATGGGTGGACCAGAGCACTCCAATAGTGGCAGCAAATTAGATTTTTCTTCTTTGCTCTGATACCATGTTAGAATTTGTGGGAACATAAAATGGAGATAGGAGAAGAGAGAACACAATATTTACGTGGTTCAGGCCGAAGCCTTACGTCCATGGATCTAAAGCCCAACTGGCTACATCTTCATTATTTTAGATGAATGTTTACATCAATAAGTACTTCTATATATAGAGAGCAATCATACAATTATATGAGATAAATATGGTATGATAACTTGATGACCAAGTAACTTGCTCTCTATCTTCTAGATACCTAACCTTATCAAGAAATATATACATATACATCCTTAATTATGTATATCAATATGAACCCGAGATATCCATATCCCAACAAATTTTATTATGTGGTGCATGAGGGAGCAAAGAATGCCTTGGAGTGAAAATCTTAGGATCATTGGCGCATCTAAAAATAAATGGGCCGTGGAAATGGTTTTTCTTTCATTTTTTGTTGTTTAATTATGGAAATGAAAATGTTATACAAAATGGTTAGAGCCAGTTTGGAAGAGACACTAAACATGACTAACTCTATTTTAAAAATACACTAAGTGAAAACAAGTGCACCATGTTTTTTTGGATAATTCAATGGGGAAGATATGCCCCTATTCTTTATTTCAAATAGTTTGAGAGTTAGTTTTTTTT